GTCGTCTAGTCTACGCAAATATAATCGTGGCGACAAGCGGGACCTTGCAGAACGCTATCACAGGGAGTCGTCTAGTCGACGCAAATATAATCGTGGCGACAAGCGGGACCTTGCAGAACCGCAAATTTAATCGTGGTGATAATGATAATTGATAAGCAGGACATTATTACAGGAAGTCGACCGAATTAGTTGTAATTAGCCCCATAATAAAGCGGAAATCCCTTATTTCTTTTCATTCATTATTTGTTTTATTTACACGTTAAACTAGGACTGCGATATTTCTTTATATTATTGTAAAGTTGTTGCACAATTTTTCATATAAAGGATATATTCATCATAAAAAGCCGTCTTAGAAAAGATTTCGCAATATTTTGTTTTAATTCGATCTTAATTAAATAAATATTGTTTTTAATCAGTATATACTGTATCTATCGTCACAATGATTTGTGATTTATTATTCTTTATCATTGATCATTTTTGAATATAAAAAAATTAAACTTATTAATGACTCAAAAAATACGTGTACTGTACATTTATAGATCATTATAAGATATAAATGTCATATTAAACCTGCAAATACTATATTAAATCTTATTAATTGTATGACAAATTTTGAAAGTTTTCTAATATTTTAAATAGGTACTTTTGAAAGGACTTGTATGTAAATTTTAATATTTAATTAATAATTCAAGATATATAAATTTCGAACCTTAAAGCAGTGTTGACCTTTGGCCAATTTGGCCGGCCAAAATGGCTAAAAAAAAATCTTGGCTATTTGGCCATTTTGGTCTCTTTAGCCGTTGGTTACGGCCAAATGCCAACACTGCCTTTTAGTATGTAATAGCCCAAGCTTTCTTTAGTATGAGGCTTCATTATACATATTATAAATAATATCTGAAAATCTAATATTGGCTATATACCGGGGGGGGGACAAAAGTATTGCACGCTTTTATTTTTTCAATAATTTTTTATTTTTTACAGAAACATACAAATTTTTTTTTATTTTTCGAAAACTGACATTAATATTTAGTATGTCCTCCATTGGCGTCGATCACAGCCTGA